AAAAAAAAAAAAAAAAACTCAGTTTCATTATTATCTACAATCAAACTATTTTAGAAATATATTTTGCTAATTGACTCTTAATGAAATTCAAACCTGAAAATCGAATCGCGACAAATAATAATAATAAAAAAAATGCAATCACCTTTTATAATATGAAATAATTGTTGTTATTGGCTTGATCTTTGTAGATACGAAGATGGATCTGTATATCACAAATCGATTTCGTAAATCATTGTTTTACAAATATTTTCCACTCTCTGCAGTCGCAATATATTTTCCGCTCTCTGCAGTCGCGCACACCACCGAATTTTTGTCTCACAGCAATAATAATTTCCGATGTCAGCAATCCATACGACGGCGGCGATGTCGCTCGACGACCTCCAAGAAATCACCGTCGAGCAACGACGCGACCTCATCTCCGCACAGGCCCTCGACACCGACCTCGATTTCGCCTTCAATCTCCAACTTCAGGAAGCCATTACTTTGATTAACAGTTGTTTTTTAGAAAGCATACTAAATTTCTTCAGAAATTTTCGATCGAAATATATAATTTCGTCATAAACACGGAATAGTAAGGTTTGGGTACATACGGCGGAGAAATGGAAGAGGATGAAACCCTCAAAATGACACAAATGATAATGACATACTACTGTGATATTGAATCCGAGCGGTTAATTTTTTGTTTCACTTTTTTAGACCGTTCCATTCAATGTTTTGGTAAATGCTTGGTAATTTTCTGGTCTCAATATAAATGATATGGGCTGTTTTAAAGTAGGGACATGTATACCATTGGGTCGGGCTTCAAATTTTACTATTGGGCCATTAAAACAATTGGGCTTTAAACATTATATGTGGGCCAATTGACGTAATTGACTTCTTGAAAATTAAACATTCTATAAAGGCAATACATTAATTGAGACATGAATTGATTCACATGTTTGGGTTGTTTTTGTTTGTTCATTTCATTATGATTATTATTATTTAGTTATTTTATGTTTTTTTCCTAAATAATAAGGAGTATTCATGGAAATCATGGTAATGTATTGCCTTTATAGAATGTTTAATTTTCAGAAAGTCAATTACGTCAATTGGCCAAAACTCAATTCCTCAACAAAATCGACCTTAAAAGTACCTGTACTCCATTCCCATATACCATATACCATAAATATTGAGACATGAATTGATTCACATGTTTGGGTTGTTTTTGTTTGTTCATTTCATTATGCTTATTATTATTTTTTACTCGGTGGTATGACATTAATATTTATTTAAATGTTTTATTTTTATATGATATTTAGTAGCATAATAATCTAATTTTAGTTGTCCATTTGACATTATCGGCTTTTTCATAGTGCAACCAACCTTATATATACAATATGTAAAATCATCTAATTACTTAACTAACATTAATAATTTTTATTAAGGACAATGCTACTATACAATTTTATAAATTGTATAGTAAGGGTAAAATATGTACACTCACGTGGGATGTGTGTACCGATGTGGTAAACCACATGGTACAAGTAGCATTATTCTTTTATTAATATGGTATAGTTTGCATGCTGCATATAAAAGGTTGACTCCACTATGAAGTTAAATGTTGGCTTAATAGAAAACCTTTAGAAAAAACTAATTATTTTTTTTAATCAAAATTTTGAATTATGTTTAAAGAAAAAAAAATGAAATGGCGTGAAATCCCTAAAATCTCTACTTTTTTTTATACTTGGATTTTGTTTAATAAATAAAATCCCTTAATTTTTTATTTTTTTTAAAGCGCATATTAGAGCAGGTTGGGCGGATTAGACATAATTTGTTAACTAATAATAACTAATAATACGTAGTTTTAGATAAATTCAACATTCTACATTTTTTTGTTTTTGATTTTGTTTTTGTTTTTATCAAAATGGATAAACATATTTTTTTGATGTCAACTGTAATCACATTATTTAGGAATATAAGTCATGTTCAACTTAAAAACCTGACATAAATAATTTTTTTAATTATAGTGCAAGGTATATGTTACTTACACAAATGTCTATATAACCATTATCAACATTGAAACAAAAATATTTTACAACTAATACATCCCCCAAAACATATTTTTTTTACAAGATTTTCCGTATACATTCAAAATGACATTAGATTTTGGAGTAATCATGGATATAAACAATATTGACATCTATAAATCGACGATATAGGTAATTGGAGGATCATTATCAATGGTCAAACCAACATTCTCAAGTGGAGGAGTGAATTTCCTATATATCGTTTTGACTTTAGGAACTTTTTAACTTTAATAGGTGTTCATAATGTTGATGAAGTCATGTTGTTTGGTACGCTATAATTTTTTATTTATTTCTTCTTATTTCGATTTTTTTAGTGAAAATCTTTAATAAACTATATTATACATTATACGTTTCAATATGATGTATTTGTCTTACATTTTTGTAGATGTTGCATTGGTTGTTTCAATACACTCTATTCAAATAAAGATTGTCAAGAGAGTTCCTACCCAAATGATTGTATTGTCTATTATGGATTGAGAGTAAGAATCTTTTGCATTACATATTCATATTTTATATTCTAATATTTTTATATGATTTTTTTTCTATTATATTTTGATTTTAATGTTTTACGCATGTAATATCTTAAAAAAAAATAAATTAAAATATCAATGTTTAGAATTTATATTTTCAACTCATAATATGCCCTTTAAAAACCTCTTGGATGTTGTGTAGGGGAAACATACAAATTTGTACGGTATGGGGCCAGTTGTATGTTGTCTCCCGTGTCACAAACATAAATGGTTTGAAAATCCTAATTTGTGGTGACGATGACGGGTCAAATAATCAAACCATGAACTTTGTATATAAGGTAATGTTCAATAATATATAGATTTTATTTTTATTATATTTATTAATTATTAATGACATTATTTTTCCTTTAGTAAGTACTTTGATTTTTAACTTAAATTTGCTTTTTAAATGAGACGGAAATAACAAATCCCGTGCATCGCACGGGTACTGTACTAGTCATTTCGTATAGCGAGAGACAGAATGAAGGAACTCGGAGAGGCTAATGTTAGAGTCCGTCTGATTGGTCGGAGAAATAACGATGCCAGACGATATAACCTGCCAACCAGTTCTGAACTCGCTGTGTTGGTTGTTGGCGATTTTGATCAAGCAATGGGTGAGAGAGACATATTGGTTGAAACCAAAAGTGGTCTTCTAAAGCGTATAAATGAGCTCAATGCTTCTTATTTGGCACTACAATATCCTCTGTTGTTGCCTTATGGTGAGGATGGTTACCGAGAAGACATACTCTTCGCTGAAGGAAAAAAAACAAGTGAAGATGGACGAAAACATGTCAGTGTCCGCGAGTATTTTGCTTACAGGATGCATGATAGAGACCATGAATCGGCTACTATTGTTTCAGCAAGAAGACTGTATCAACAGTTTATTGTTGATGCATATACCATGGTCGAATCATCGAGGTTGCGATATATTCGGTTCAATCAAAAGAAACTTCGTTGTGAAATTTATAACGGTTTGGTCGATGCAGTTCTTCGTGGTGACACAGAACCCAGTTCCCGAGGAAAGAGGGTTATTGTTCCTTCTTCGTTCACTAGGGGTGCTCGGAATATGATTCAGAATTATCAAGATGCAATGGCTATTTGTAGATGGGCCGGTTATCCTGATTTGTTTATTACTTTTACATGCAATCCGAAATGGCCGGAGATTGTTCGTTTTCTTGAACCAAGAAATTTACGGCTAGAGGATCGACCGGATATTGTCTGTAGAGTCTTTAGATCGAAATTGAAGGAAATGATTAGGGATTTTCGTACAAAGGAGATATTCGGCAAAGTGATTGCAGGTGATATATTTTTTCGTACCAATTATTTTACAACTAATCATTGTATTTGTACTGCTTAATTTTTCTTTTATCAATATAGTAATTTTAATGTGTATTTGTAAATTTGACACATCATTCATTCTGCAGTTGTCTACACCATTGAGTTTCAAAAACGTGGATTGCCCCATGCTCATATACTTCTGTTCTTAGCTAAGGCTAACAAGTTCCCTAATCCTTCCGACATTGATAGAATCATATCAGCTGAGATTCCAGACGAATTATCTGATCCTTTGTATTATGAAGCCGTGAAGGAGCACATGATCCACGGGCCGTGTGGTTTGGTACGAAAAGGTTCGCCTTGTATGGTTGATGGTAAATGCAGTAAGCATTTTCCAAAACAATTTGTCGACTCAACCACTGTTGATGAAGAAGGTTATCCTCGATACAGACGTCGTGACGATGGGAGGTCTATTGACAAAAATGGGGTTGTTGTACATAATGGATATGTCGTGCCTTATAATCGTGGTCTTTTGATGAAATATAGAGCTCACATCAATGTGGAGTGGTGCAATCAATCACGAATAATAAAGTACCTCTTTAAATATGTCAACAAAGGCCACGATCGTGTGACGGCATCTTTCTATCAAACGTCAGTTGAAGGGTCATCTGAAAAATCTTTGGATGAGATAAAAATGTACTATGATTGCAGATACATTTCTTCATGTGAGGCTGCATGGCGTTTGTTGGGTTACGAGTTGCAATACAAAAAACCTCCTGTTCAGCGGTTGAGTTTCCATTTGGAAGGACAACATCAAGTTTTCTTTGACGATGATGATAATCTTGAGTATGTTCTTAATAAACCCTCTGTGGGAGAGAGCCAATTTCTTGCGTGGTTTGAGGCAAACAAAAAATATCCGGTAGCACGAGAACTAACTTATGTTGAGGCTCCGTCGAAATTCGTTTGGAATAAAACAACTCGCGAGTGGACTCCTAGAAAAAATGAAGACCAACCATCTGTTGGTTGTCTGCGGTATGTACCTCCTGGGTGTGGGGATGATTATTATTTGAGGTGTTTGGTCAATGTTGTTCGCGGTGCAACATGCCATGAGGACTTCATGAAGGTTGGAGATGCTCAGTATATTACATATCGAGATGCTTGCTATGAAAGGGGTTTGTTGGAGGATGATAGAGAGTACATAGACGGCATAATTGAAGCAAGTCAGTGGGCATCTGCAGACTCTCTAAGACGCATGTTCGCATCGTTGATGGTTTCTGGTTCCTTAGGTAGACCGGAAGAGGTATGGACAAGATGTTGGCAATATTTGTCGGATGACATTCTTTACAGACAATGACGACTGTTCAACAATGATGGTATTTTACTATATTAGTTATATAATATTTTGATATACAAATTTATATTATTTTTAAATTTTGTGATGCTAATTCATCATTTCTTTTTCAAATATTAGGTTTGTTGCTTACAGAAGAGCAAATCCAGAATCTAGCCCTTGCTGAGATTGAGTATTTTTTGCGACGACGTGGATCAAGTCTTAGTGATTATTCTACTATGCCTTTTCCTGATAGCGACAACATGAATTTAAATTCAAATCGTCTGATTATGGATGAGCTGAACTACGATCGAAAGGCTCTTGCTGTTGAACGCGCTACGCTTCTTGAAAAAATGACGGGTGAACAGAAAGGAGTCTACTCGACGATTATGTCATCTGTGGATTCTGGTGAAGGCGGAGTTTTTTTTGTATACGGATATGGTGGAACGGGAAAAACATTTTTGTGGAGAACGTTATCTGCTGGCTTGAGATCCAAAGGTCGTATAGTGTTGTGTGTCGCATCGAGCGGAA